TAAATTCAACAATAATCCTCAAGCTCTTCAAAGAAATTGAAAGGGATGGAGGGCTCACAAATTCATTTATGGAAGCCATTATCACACTGATTCAAAAACCAGACAACAATCCAACTAAAAAAGAAAACTATAGGCCAATTTCCTTAATGAACACATATGCAAAAATCCCAACATATTAGCAAACAGAATACAGCACATTATCAAAAAGATCATCATGACCAAGTTGGTCTCATCCTAGAAATCCAAGGATGATTCAACATATGTAAGTCAATAAATGTAATAATACATCACATAAAGAGTTCAAGGCCAAAAGCCACATGGTCATATCAATAGACGCAGAAAAGGCTTCTGACAAAATCCAACACCCCAGTATGATAAAAACCCTAAAGAAAACAGGTACAGAAGAACAATACCTGAATTTGTTAAAAGTTATTTATAGCAAACCAACAGCCACATCATATTAAATAGAGAAAAACTGAAATGATTCACCTTAAAATCAGGAAAAAGGATGTCCACCTTCACCTCTTCTATTCAACATTGTACTTGAAACATCAGCCAGAATAATTAGACATGAGAAAGAAATAAAAGGGAAACATATATAAAAGAAAGAATTCAAATTATCATTATTTGCAGATGACAAGATATTCTACCTACAAGACCCAAAGAATTTTACAAAAAAAACAAATATGTGGTCCAATGAAACAGAACAAAGAAACATCCTCAGAACATTCAGCTATTTGACCTTTGACAAAGGGACCAAAAGTATATGTGTGTTGTAGGAAAGAGCCTATTTAACAAATAGTGCTTGGAAAACAAAATCTGGTTGCAGAAGATGGAAAACGGATCCCCTCCCCAAACCATGTACTAAATTAAAAGCAAAATGGATCAAAGATCTAAACACCAAAACAGAAACATTAAATCTAATGGAAGATAAAACAGGTAAAACACTTGAAGCCATGAATGCAGGGAAAGGATTTTCTCAACAGAACCTCCATCATACAAGAAACAGCAAGAACAAATGGGACTGTATCAGACTAAAATGTTTCTGCACAGCCACAGAATCAATTAATAGAATGAAGAGACAACCTACAGAATAGGAAAACATTTTTCCAGTTACTCCTCAGAAAGAGGACCAATATCTAAAATATATAAAGAACTCAAAAATTGGCTGGGAATTTAGCTTGGTGGCACTGTGCCTGCCTCCTAAGCACAAGGTCCCCTGAGTTTGATCCCCAGTACCACACACACTAACAAACAAACAAAACCTAAAAAAAGTTATACCACCTAAAATTAAGGACCCAGTAAAAAAAAAGACAAGATAAATGAACAATCACAAAGGATTAATTACAAATGGCCAACAAATATATGAAAAGATGTTCAACATTTCTAGCCATTAGAAAAACACAAAATTAAAACAACACTAAGATTCCATCTTACTCCAGAAAGTATGGCCATCATCAAGACATCAAACAATAACAAATGCTGGCATGGCTGTGGTGAAAAAGAAACCTTCCTATATTGTTGATAGGAAGGTAAACTAGTAGAACCATTATAGAAATCAGTACAGAGATTTCTCAAAGAACTAAAGTTAAAAATTCCATATGATGCAGCTATCCTCTTTTCAGCTTATCTTCCCTAAACAGCTTAAGAAACCACACTATAGTGATACTTGCATACCAATGTTTAATAGCAACACAATTCTGTAATATTCCTGGAAGCAGCATGTATACTCATCAACAAATAACTGGATACGGAAAATGTGGTATTTATATATAATGGAACACTAGTCAGCTATAAGGAAGGATAAATTTGAGACATTTGTAGGAAAATGGAAGCACCTAAAAAATGTAATATTGAGTGAAATAAACTAGACACACAAGCTTAAATACCATGTGGTATCTCTCGAGTAAGGCAAAATACAGATAAAGAGAGTAATAAAAACTGGGCGTGGTGGCGCACACCTGTAATCCCAGTACTCAGGAGGATGAGGCAGGAGGATCACTGTGAGTTCGAGACCAACCTGTGATACATAGTGAGTCCCAGGTCAGTCTCAAATACATAGTGAGACCCTATCTCAAAAAACCAAAAAACAAAACAGAGAGAGTAATAAAAGATAGAAGGAGACAATGGGATGGATCTCTTACAAATGAGGTGTCTAAGAGACCAAAGATGAAGGGTTAAGTTAAATGGAAGGGCAAATAAGTAGAATAAAGATAAGCTATGCATAGGATTTTAAAAGACCTAATCATTGTATGTTGTAAACATGAACTAAGGTTAATAATATCAACAAAAATGAAAAGGGACAGGGGAATTAGAGAAGGGGGGAGGGACCACAAAGGGGATTGAAAAACGAAAAAAAAGCTGTATTATATACATGTTCCTACTCTCCAAGATGATTGGAAAATGCATGTACTGCAAACATGTAGTAATAAAATTTTTTTAAAACACTGAAAAACAGGTACATCATATTACAGTGATATATAGATATTCATGTTTATAGCAGCTCAATTAATAATAGCTAAATCTTGGATGTGGGCTATATGTACATTAATGGATGAATGAATAAAGAAAATGGTATTTATACATGATGGAGTAAGTACTACACTGCTATAAAGAGAAAATGGATGCACCTTGGAACCACAACATTAAGTTAAGTAAGTGCAGACATGCATGCTTAAATACTGCATGGTTTCTCTTATATGAAAAGGTCAAATTATAAATAGAGCAAAATAAAAGAAAATAGGACGCAGAGAATAGATCTTTCTTGAATGGTAAGACAATCAAGAGATGGAGGAAGGTAGAGGGAGAGTGAAAGGAGATGAAAAAAGAAAGTAAGACTCGTTTTGTAAATGTACAAACTCCACACAAGGAATGTAAACACTACGTACTGCAAACATATACTGATAAAGAAATTCTAAAGCCTCTCAGTAAATGTATTAAACATGAAAAGTTAAAAAATGTTAAGCGAATGAAAAGACATACCACAATAAAGTTTAAAAAAATGCATGTGTGTGTGTATATATCTGAAAACACAGTAAGCCACAATTTAAAAATGGGCAACAAATCTGAACACTTTACTAAAAGAATATGCACAATACATAATACAGCTGTTTGGGCCAGGGATTTAGCTCAGTGGTTCCACCACCTGCCTTGCAAGTACAAGGTCCTGAGTTTGATCCCCAGTACCAAAACAAAACAAAACAATACAGCTGTTCAGCATTATTAATCATTATGACCATGCAAATTAAACTCACAATGATTACTCACTACACATATATACCTGTTCCATAATATACACTACACACATCTACACTACATGTTAGCTTCACTAAAATTGAAAGACTGATTATCCTAGGCATTAGTGATGATATAGAACTATAACTCTCATATATAATTGATAGAATTATAAAAATTTTACAAAAAACTTTAGCAGTTTCTTATAAAGTTCAATGTATATCTATGGTGCCAATGATTCAGCAACTTTATTCTGACATATTTATTTACCCAGGAAAAATAAAAGCCTATGTCATACCATAATCTGTACACCAAAATTCATAGTAGCTTTATATGTAATAGCCAACAACTAGAAACAACCTAAGTGTCTATGATAAGTGAACTGATAAACCATCAAATACTGCCCAAGAAAAAAGAAAGGAATGAACTATTGACACATAGAAGATGAATCTCAAAAAATTATATTCAGAGAAAGAAGTCAGATAAAATGAATATATAATGCATAATTCCACTTACAGAGAAATCTTAGTAATGAAATCTAGTGTATGGATACAGAACGCAGACCAGTAATCAACTGGGGACTGGCAAGGAAAAGGAAGGGTGTAAAGGAGGTATACAAGAAGAAACTTCTAGGGCCCACGGGTAGTTCATTATCTTGTTTTGGGCCATGACTTCATAGATGTACACATATGTCATAACTTCCAAAACTGTACATTTAAAATATATGCAGTATTTTTGTATGTAAACTATATCTCAATAAATATCTCAATAAATCTACTGAAGAAAAATAGCTTAGATATGAAAAAACTCTACTAAAATTATTCATGGATTATTTGAAGAAGTAACAACTGTCAAAGTTTGAGTTATCTACTAAAATTTGAACTGCTTTGGCTTATCTAAAACAGGTAGTACCTAGCAATAAGTTAGCCAACAGATGAGCAAGCTAGAACACAGAGATCTGCGATCAAGCCACTAATTCAGTCATAAAATTAATTCAGAGCTTTAAAATTAAAATATTTTTATCTTGACTTCTAAGTAAAGTTTCTTAAATAGGAAAAGCTTTGTTATTCAGAAAGGGAAGTGTTGGAAAACAGGATTATTCAAATTAAATTATCACTTGCATCAATTTCTGTTAGATTGATCCATAAGCAAAGAAGGATTCAAGGACTCTGCGATCCTTGGCACTCTAAATTCCTCTTTCAAAAACTGAATGTGGAGAAAGATGAGAAGAAGCATTTTTAATAGACATGTCTAAGAATCTTTTCCCTCCACTTTTATGAATTAATGATATTATTTTAATTGAGTCATATTACCTAAAGTGCAATTCACTCTTTGGTTCTAAATTGAGCTTCTACAGAAGATAAACTATACTTGCTCCTTTAGGCGATGCTTTAGCAGTTCACTGCTCATTTTTGAAATCATTTCTGAAACTATTTCTAGTCTGAGAAACCACAGGTACTTGTGACGAAATGGTATCAGGATAATTCCAGAAGCATGATTTCACTGGCTAAGAATACAGTGGCTGTGTCCCTCCACTCAGGAAGCCCAACTAAACCTCTGAATACCTACACTGTGTGACAGCAAATTTACTATTATAAAACTTGCATGGTTTTAGATTAACGAAAAGAATACCTATGGGCTTGGGATTCAGCTCAGTGGTGCCACCGCCTGGCTTGCATATGCAAGGTCCCAAGTTAGATTCCCAGTACCAACACCCCCCCCAAAAAAAAACCAACAACAACAAAAAAAACCCCAAAATAAAATACCTGTGTTCTGAATTCCAAAATGTTATTTCCTGGCTTAATTTTTCCTAGTAATATCAAATCTTTTATCTGCATACATTTCTTTTTAGGAGTTGTGCTAAAACTTAAAGGCTTTTTAATATTATGTCGATGACCAGACTCAGAGGAAGAAGAGATCTGCCTGTCATTTGCACATGGAATGGCAGAAGCTGTCTTTTTAAGATATGATTTTATGGGATGTCCAGTATCAGTGCCTAAAACAGCACTACTTTGATGTGCCAGAGATTCTGAGACCCCACCAGGTGGTAGCTGGGAAGCTGTTTTCTTATTTCTTCTTTTGGGATCACAATGGGAAAGGTCTTGGTCTGAAATAACAGTTGATAAATAAGCATCATTTTGGGAAAGGCTAATTGTGCATTCAGAAATATTTAACGTGCTTGTGGCAGAAGAACTACAGAATTCATGATCTTCGGTTATTTTTTCTGAACGATCATTTTCTTTTTGTGAGTGTTCTGTTTGAACAATAAAAACATGTTTGGAGGATGACTTAATCTTCTCAGTGTTATGTGAATGTCTGGATTTTGAAAAATCATCCAAGGTACAATCACCGTTATCTTGTTTCAAATTCATCTCATTTCTAGAAAATCCTCTGGAATTTGGACAAATATTTGTATTTTGGCCATCATTCCAAGTCTCTGGAGACAATGCTGTTTCTTTCACGCTTCCACAATCAAGGTGGACAGGATCTTGCAGCTGCCCTAAATTTTCCAGCCTTGTAAGCTCTTGGCTGCCTTTGTCACTGGAGATGTCTAAGCTGGATGATAACTTTCTTAAATGAAGACCAGGCAAGGATGTGGTATTCTTATAATTTTGAATTTTCAGGCTAATATTTTTCTGGTTTTTTGCTGCCACCAAAAGTCTCTTCTGTCTTGTGGCCAAATTGGCCAGTTGTTCTCTCAGGACTCCATGTTTAAATGACTCTATGGACACCCTTCAGGAAGAAACAGAAAGAGGAAAAAAATATAAATACAGCAGAAAGCTTTTTAACAGTTATTTAGATGTTAAAGGTATTCTTTCAATTTTAATCAGCTTGAAGTATATAAAAGTCTACCTTCAAAATGTATTTAACCTTTGAAAGGAAACAAACTCTTTTATTTACAGTGAGTTTGCCATTTTTTAGTATGTGATTTATAATCATATCATTATCAGTCTTGAACCAACCATAGAAGAGGAATAAAATTTGGATTGTTTATCTAGATTTTTATCTTTGATTGAAAGGTACAAAGAAATTTGTATCTGAGGAGAACCCTCATTCATTATGTTTGGGGGCTGATTACCTGTTTAAGTGGAAAGGTTAATATTAGAAAGTACATTTGGGAGTAAGTTCCACTCAGGTTCCCTTAGTTACAGAGGAACAAGACTGTTTTTTTTTTTTTTTTTTTTTTTTTTTTTTTTTGTTGTTGTTGTTTGTTTGGTTTTTTGAGACAGGGTCTCACTATGTAGTTGAGACTGATCTGGAACTCATCATGTAGCCCAGGTTGGTCTTGAACTCACAGCAATCCTCCTGCCTCAGTCCCCCGAGTGCTGGGATTACAGGCATGCACCACCACGCCCGGCTAGAGGAACAAGATTGTTTTGTCAACAATCATAACTCAACTAGACCTGAGAAATATTAGTTCATCAAGTCATTTCTGTACTTGTCCTTTGAACCTGTAACAAAGACACTTAGAAGTATAGAGCAAATGGCTCCTCACACCTCTACATCTTTTGGCCTTTTGGTTAAGCCTACCTATCCCATACTAAGTGTCAGCATATTGTACACTTTGTTTCTAACTGTTCTCAGGACCTAGGCATACTCTTAAAAAATCACTGAGGAAATCAAAGGGTTTTTTCATATAGATTATAATTATTAGTATTTATTGTTTTAGACACTGTAACTGAAATTTTCAAAAATACAAGAATATATAAGAAGGCATTCCACTGGCCATCAGGTAGCCTGTGGAAAATTCCATTCTACACTCATGAACAAATAACATCTTAGTATTAGTATAAAAAATAGTTTTTACCTCACAGATTAACTGAACTCACTTCACAGATCCACTAGGAATCTCTAGGTCATGCTGCAAAAGCTGGTGTTTTAAAGAACAGCAATAGCATAGCTACTTTGCTTTCCTATTAAAGTTTAGAGTTGTTGGCACTGAACCACCAGAAATTGTATGTTAAAAGTAGTAGTGCTGAAGTGGAAGGAGCAAGAAGAAGAAATCAAATTAGCTAACAACTGATAGCATAAAATGCAAAAACTCTGGATAAAGAAGTAAAACCAGTAATATCATCATACTTAAGCCTATGTGAAAAAGAGTTCAGACAAAAAAAAAAAAGATGTTCTCTTTAGATTACCCATAGCAAGATCTAGAGTCTTACAGTGACAGTAGTAAGAATTTACAACTTGAAACCCCAACTGGTCAGAATTTTTTCAAAATTCCAGTGCATTGTTCACCATAGGATATAAAGGAAAATTAAAGCTAGATTCTCTAAAAACCTTATAAAATATTCTGTGGCCAATTACCCATTTGTAGCTCATAAATGCTCACCTACTCACCAGAAAAACAATTCAGAAAATAAAAAGAAACTCAAAATATTTACTCACTGGAGAGGAAGAAAAAATGAAGATAAAAGATAGCGGGCTTATATATAAAAATTAAAAGTGATCTTCAAATAAGTTTAGGAAAAAACTATATATTAGATGTTAAGTGACTGATTATTAGACAAGAATATAAAGAAAATAGAAAAATTAAATATGAATAGTGGAGTACATATGTAACTAAGTCTATGAAAAGCTAATAAAAATGCCTAAACAAGAAACAGATACAGAACATTTTTCTCCAAAAAAATGAGAAGAGGCATATAATCAATATAGTATTATCAGGGTAAAACTCAGGAACCTAAAATATTGAAAGTGTGCATGTGCACACACATACACACGCATACACACTATACACATTACACACATACACAAATTAACTTCCTAGGACATTTGTAATAATAAGAAAAAAATTAAAGCAGAAAATTTGAATGTGCTAAAGACATTTATTTGTGAGTTCAGAACCAGACTTTCACTAAATTCTTCACTGTAGACAACTTTTTCAGGTATTAAAATGTTCTTTTATGAATATTTAAGTAATAAAGTAGAAAAATATCTTTCTGGAAAGTACAATTCCCCATGGATGTAACAGATTAGACAACCATATGAAGTCATTTTTGGGTCTTGAGCAATATTTGTATTCTTAAGAAATTCTAGGTCTACCTATTTATTAGCTATCTTTCTTTTATTGTAATAAATACCCGAGATAATAAACTTTGAAAAAGGTTATTTTGGTTCATGGTCTTAGAGGCTTCAGTTCGTGGTCAGTTGATCTCAATGCTGGGCCTGTACTGAGGCAGCACATTAGGGAAGAGCAGGTGAAAGAACAAAGCTATTGTTCAAGTCAAGCCATGAAAGAACGGAGGAAAAGAAAGGGACCAAGGTCACAGCACCCCTTTTATGGCTTTCCCCAGTGACTAGAAGACAGGCCCCATCTCTGAGTTTTCCCCACTTCCCAACAGTTCCCAGTGGGGCACTAAGGCTTGAACACATGTGACTTTGGGAGACATTCTCAATCTCAACTATAGCACTCTTGTATTTAAAAATGTACTCATTATAGAAACTCTCAAGCACTCCAATTTTGTTTTACTCACCTGTATTTTTTAGCCAAATCATCCCTTTCTGCTTTCTGTTTGGCAAGTACATTATCCATAATCTCTTTTATTTCCAACATCTTTTCAATGTATTGTTCTACAAAGATGGTAATAATAAGTCAGTTAACTGTAGGATATCAAATTTTAAATTTGGTCACACAGGTCTGCCCTACTGCTGAATTTTAAAAAGCCATTATTATCTACGCACTTCTCTAATATTAATGATTCAGACATCTAAATAAGGTTTGTTTAATTAAATAATCCCAAGGAAATGCCCTAAGGTATAGTATAGGTAAGAACAATGCACCAAGAAAGAGCAGCCCACCTAAATTCTAATTGTTCTGCCCCACTGATTGAACTCAGAGAGCCTGGATTAACCTCTAGTACCTCTATGGTTAGCTAGTTTGCCCTCTCACCCTGCCTTCCTTTCTCTTTCTCTTGCTCCCCCTTCTTTCATACTGCTTTCACTTGTCTTTCCTTCCCTTTTTTCCTCCTTCCCTCCTTTTAACAAAATGACCAATCATTTAATTTCCTTACATAAAAATGCTACCCTACGCATTTTTTTTGACAGGGTGAATTCTTCTTTATTTTTTTTTCCTCATTGAGTTTATTGGTACATTTTAGGTATACAGTACAGTTACATTCATCATTGGGATCTTGTACCTTTACATGACAGGTCTTGGTTCTCATTTTTCCCCTTGTCCCTGCCCTCCCTTCACCCCCTCCTCCCCTCCCCCTTTACAAACACTTCATATCCATGAGAAAGTGAAACCCTACTAATTTTTAAATGTTTGAATTTGCCAAAGCCTACCTGCATACTACTTTTCAGTGAGTGTGTGTGGGGGGGAGTCTCTACAGTGAGTTGGTACCTGGTTTTCTACCTGAACATCTGTGGGTCATGAATGAGGAACTTCTAAAGCAGAGTAAAGAGAAAGTCACCGTGGGGGCAGAAAGTAACTGTCTACCTTGTGCCTGGGTCCAAGGTGGAAGGGTAGTCTGCCCACAATGGCTTAATCTGTCCTGCCCTGTGATCTGCTGGTGAGGGCTTCTGCCTACAAACCTCTGCACAGCATGTGCCTCCAGGAAAAACAAACAAACAACAACAAAAACACCACCACCACCACCACAACAAAAAGCAGCCAAGAAAGACTAAGAGGGCAGAGGGAAAGGGAAATGTACACTACCTGCAACACAGGCCTTCTATCCTGACAGAACTATAGAGATTTCAGAAGAATCTCAGAAAACTGCTCTCAAGAGACTGAGGTTTGAACATCCTCCAGAGAGGAGCAGAGCCAACCACAGCCCGCATTTAGTGACAGGCCAAGAACTCTAGAGTTTCATCGCCTTACCTCTCTTCCCTTAAGGGGCAGTGAAACAAAAATAAAAGGGTCATGATTACTTGGCAAACTGATTAGGACAGAATAAAATTAAATGATAAAATCTGGGAGGAAGGAAGAAAAGCTTCTAAGCATTCAAAGAAATAGGAATATAAAAAAAGGCTAATAGATTTTTTACTTACATAATTTGAAATATATGTATTAAAACCTTAACAAACACACATTACACATAAAAAGTCAAGTGGCTGAAAAGTATTTGTAACAGCAGTAGAGAAAAACACCAATAATTTTACCATGTAACCAGGTTCCAACTAATTAATAAATGAAGCATAGAATAGTCAATACACAAAGTAAGAAATAAAACAGCTGGGGATGTAGCGAAGTGGTGCAACACCTGCCTATGAAGTGTGAGGCCCTGAGTTCGAGTCTGAGGATCAAAAAAAAGAAAGAAATTAAAAATCACAAGGCTACTGAAAGTATGAAATATTTTTTAATTAAACTAGTAAGGTCATTTTAAATGAAAATATTAATGCTATCACATACACATACATACTGGATTGTGTTGCTTAAAGTGAAAATTAGTACATAATGCTCTGGGAGATTCATCTGTCAATATAAATCAATAGATTATTAAATGTTTATATAACTTGGCCCATTAATTCTAATTCTATTAATCTTTCCTAAGAAGATAATCATGTACTAGAAAAAGCTGCATGTTGTAACATAATAACAAAAAATTGAAAATAATCTAGATGTTTAACAAAAAGGAAAAATTTAGTGCACTGAAACATTTATTGAACAGTATACCATGTAACCATAAAGAACAACATCAAAATGTAGTGAGGGGCAGGAGGTAATTTTAGCATTTTTCTATTCTTTATTATTTTGGGGTGTGTATCTACTATGTATGTATTTTATAATAAAAATTACAAAATTAGAAAAATAATCTCAAATGCATAAGGTATTATAAGTACTAAGTAAAATACACTAAGTATACATATTTTCTTGGGAATATGACTTATTTTATATAATTTTACTCAAAATATAATATGTATCACATTTTAGGCCAGGATAAAAGGTAGATGGATCTAATTTAAAATGAAAATTTTTTTCCAAAAGGCTACACAAACATGAATTAGGACAAGAAGTGAACTAATGGCTGCATCCTGTTATACAAATGGCTGGTGAGGCTGGGTGCGGTGGTGCACATCTACAATGTCAGTACTGTAGCAGCTAAGACAGGAGGCTTGAAAGTTTGAGCCCAGCCTGGACATCACAGCAAAACCTTGTCAAAATATAAAACAAAAAGGGCTGAAGATATAGATCAGCCCTGTGTTCAATCCCTATACTGTAACAAAAAATTAAAACTAGTTTTAACTTTTAAGATATGATATGACTCCTATAATCTTTTATTTTTCTTTTTTTGCAAATTAGAAGGGGACCCAGAGATGGAGGGAAGGGGATATAAAAAGAATTAAACTGTGTTATGTACATATATAACCTCTGCACAATGGATGTAATCATTATGTACTGTAAACACTGTACTAATAAAAACAAAAATTTTAAAAATCCAGATTGGAATCTAACTGAAGAAAATATAACCATGAGCCACTGAGCATTTATAAATGTTCACTAAAGTTTTGAGAAATTAAGATTATTAGGTTAGGTATCAGAGTCTAATTTGCTATTTTTAATCATTAGTGTTTTGCAGTAAGGCATCCACCTGGTTTATGTGCTCATCTAAAAAGTATGAGGATCTTCTCCATCTGTGTTGACACTGCACACTGCTATTCTGATCTATTTTTAAAGGTTGCCATAGCCATCTTGAATATAGATCTTTGTTAACAATTACACAACTATTGGTTTGTATCACTGACTCTAATTCCTGATGCCTTAAATATTCTCATATAAAAAGAGACCTCTTTTTTCAGCCATTGAGAACTTTAAAATGAATATGTACCTTCAGAATGAGGTACCAATGCTGCTTGATGCCTGAAACAACCACACGTGACTATGAGAACATACTTACCTGCATCCTTAGAGTTCCTTATTTCAAACTCTAATAACTTTTGTTGGTTTTCCTCTATATCTTGTAGAATGGCACTGATGCTCTGCTGCTACCAAACAAAAATATTAAAAACTTTACTATTATGGTAGATGTGCTCCCTGGTATGCCACTGACAAACATACAGTAAATAAATGCTAAAAATGCTCAATTCTCTACATCCTCCAAATGTATACATGTTTTGTAGTCTTTATAAATATCACAAACTTACCAAGGGCATATATTTCCACCCTTTCATGCTGTGTTCATACTTTTCTTCTTGTCTACAATGGCTTTAATTCACTCTGTCCAGATATTTCTCTTTGTTGTGAGAGAAAATCATGGAATTGGCTACAGAACCAGATCACCTGGTTGTAATCCCGACTACAACTCTTCCCAGCTGGATAATTCCAGCAAATTACTTACCCTTACTATGCCTGAAATAAGCAACACATATAGAGTGCTAAGGACAATGCCAGCACAAAGAGCTCAAATATTGGTTATTATTGTTATGTAAAACTCATTCCATATATGAAACCCTTGATTAATTTCACAATGATTTTTCTTTTCTGAGTTAAGAATTTCAGAGCTGTGTAATTTAGTATTATAATTTAGTATTACTATGTATATTAATTCACTTTCTCTTTGCTGGGAAAACACCTGAAACTTAAACTAGGAGAGGCTTATTTTGGTTCATAATTTCAGAGGGTTCAGTCCATGCATGATTGGCTCCTAGGCAGAAATGGCATGGTGGAGTGGCATGGCATGGCAAGGCAAGTGGCTTAGCCTACGGCAGCCAGAGAGCAGAGAGAAAGGAGGAACTAGGGGCAAGAAAACATGGTTGAAGATCACACTCCCCGTTACCCACTATCTCTAACTAGGCCCCATCTCCTAACAGCCTGTTCAGCAATGAGCTCAACAGACTAATACCACGAGTAAAGCATTCCATCATTCAATCATCTTTCAAAAGCCCCACCTCTGAACACATGAGACTTCTGGGGGACATTTTAGGTCTAACCCATAACAATATATATACTGTCTTACATATTTCCTCATTAAGACAATGAGGTTTTATAGGCAGGATCAGATTTTATATTTGTATATGATTTACACATTGCTAGATACACAGCTGTTAAATAAATGATGACTGATGGATTGACTTATATTGTCTATCCTTTCATAAATTCTCAATATACATTCATCTTTAAAATGTGTAGGTCCTCAAACCCTTCTGAAGTATGTGGCTGTGAAGTTTCACTTTGATGATCACAAGAAAACACACACAATAAAATTACCTAATTAACTGGTAGAGCAGCCTTACTATTGTCATTTACTAAATGCCATCAAAATGAAATTCTAAAATTCAAATATATAAAACAAACAACCCTCCCCCTAAGGTTTACTTCTTTACATAGTGCATGGCTTACAAAAAAAGAGAAAAGTTATAAAAGAAAACTAAAGGTTACACTTATGCCTCGGCTAAGCCTCTACCTACAGGTTAGGAAAAAGAAAATATTTTCTGGTGCCAAATTTCTTTTGTCTTGCCCATACTGTGGATGTATTCAATCTTGAGAGCTTGTTTGAAGGTTCTAGCAGGGGAGCACAGCTACTCGTATATCCTTGACCAAGGAAAACGTCCTCCTCTATTGGGGGTGGTCCTCTTCAACCGAGCGCGCAGCTTTGGGAGGGATGCACATGGAATAGTGAGGGAGGAAGGGGACACCCGCCTAGCCAGCCAGATCAGCTGAATCAACCCTGGCGATTAATGGGGTGACAGATGTCGCAGCCAGATCGCCTTCACATCCAGGATGTGCCAACTTACTCAAAAGATTTTCTTTAAGGATTCTACCTTACTTAAGAAGTTTGTGTCTAGTAAACTGTGTCTTTTTATCAAACTGAGAATATCCACCTTAACAATAAATATGAAAATTTATTGAGTAATTATTCGGGTATTTTTCTTTTTACAAAAATCTACCTTCCTATGATGGGTTTCATAAGGGAAAAGAGTAAATTTGAGAATAGGAAAAACAGAAACAAATTCTTTGTAAATAGGGAGGGGTGGAGGGGTTGAAGGGAGGGCAGGGGGATAGGGAAAAAATAACCAAGATAAATCATGCAAAGGTACAAATTCCCAATGATGAATGACATCATACTGTATACCTAAAATGTACCAATAAACTTAATGAATTAAAAAACAAACTATATTACTAAAAATCATGTGGGATCCAGGACAGCTTAATCAGGTTTCCTTTTCTCTACTTGGGTTCCAGAGTCTTTTCTATATACTGCTTAGTCTAGACACTTTGTAAATGAATGAAGACACTCGACAATAGTGGCAGTGTCTGGGGGACAAGTAGCCAAACAACTCAATAGGTGCTAAGATAAGCAGAAATGTTCCATATTCCGTGCACATAACTGAGACTGAACCACAATGGATATCTTCTTGGCATATTCTGCCCAATTTTATCTTATTTTCTTATGACAAAAAACACTGGCAACCTGTGTGTCCTTAAAATGGAGAGTGCTGCCAAGAGCCAATGGCTGCCTGGCTCAATGAACGGCATTTTCTAGACTGAAGAGTGAAAGGATTTCAATTTTACTCACCATGGGAAAGTTTTCTCTTCTTTCTTCTTGGTGTGAAGGGGAAGGAGGATCAACAGTTTTGTCCTCTTTGCACAAACACTGTTTGTATCTTTTTGATCGAGTCGTAGTAGTTTTTACTTTAAAAAATAAAGTTAGAAAATATAGTAAGAATGTGCAAAAATTTAGCTTCATTTGATCAGTTTTAATGGTGACAGGGATGGGAAGGATAAATTTAGTCTACAATTATATCTTAATACTAATTAGAATCTCATTGTTATTACTAATTGAATAATATGGCTAGTATCTACTAAGCAATTCTCACAATCTAGTTGACAAACATTCTGTGAATCATCTTTTTTAATCTTCCTGTGAATCCTTTGACGTAGGCAGTTTATTACACTGATTTTATAGAAGAAAATGAGGCTTCCTTCGGCAAAGTTCAGGAAGTTGTACAATGTCATACAGCTAGCCAAAACCAGATCTTACTGACTGATCTATGACTATTCATTTATCTGTAAAGTCTTCTTGAATCCTTCTTCTGTTATGGATTCTCTCTCTCCATAATACCACTTATTCTATACCCCTCAACTTTCTAGGATGCCTTACCAATTAAATGTACAAAGACACATGAAAACAGATACAGCACTTTATAACAGACTCCTATTAACTCCAAATGCAAGATTTCTCTAACACTATGAGATTAGCTAAATATTGGACTTGCACTTTCCTTCATGTATGGCCTGAAGAGGGAGAGAGAAATAGCTATAACCCTAAGAAAGGCCCTGACCCTACAGATTTAATATATGGTGGCAACCAATATAAAGAAAACTTTGCATTTTTGACCCTGGCCACATGATCTTGCTGATTAGTAAAATATTACACAATAAATCCTTGGTCTATCCAGTCGTATCAGTAATTTTCCTCCCTTGAAAATCAACAGTTTGGTGAGGAGGGTGGTAGATTGAGGGGGCAGAGCATGACAGGGATTCTCACTCCCAGCATTCTCCTTCATAGCAAGGGCAGGTATGTTCTTGAGCTGCTGCTTCTATAAGCAAAGGCTCAAGCTTGAGGAAATAAGGAAGAACAATTCCCTTTCCTGAACAGTGAATGAAATGCAAACTACTGCTAAAAAAAAAAAATCCATAAAATTTTGCCTGGCAATATATTCCCTTGAAATAGTCCTTTCATTATAATACATATTACTCATACATACAAGTATAATATATTTGCTTTACAAATTAATATTCTTATACTAGAATATTAGATTCTTAAAAAGTTGGCATGAGCTCAACAAATTTATGTATCATTACAAATTTTGCAATAATAAAATTTTAGTTGCAAAGGCATTATATAATGTCACATTTTTCTAGCCCCACTACAAGTAAACTAATCTGCCTGGTTTCAGTTACGTTTCTATCTCACTCTCAGAGGTAGGGATATTATTTGATTAATGAATGATATAGGTTTCATTTCAACATGCAACTCCAACCCACAAGGATCATGTGATCTATAAATTAAACCAAATTTGAAAATGCTAATTTCTAATAGTACAGAATGGATTTTCAAGAATTTAAGAAATACCTCTCTTCAGTTTTGAAACAATTCATATTACAATGAAGATTTTTCTGAGATATACATCTTATAAAACAGCAAATAATCCTGACATACATACCAGTGACTGCAGCACTACTCTCATCTCTATTATTGGTCTCAAGAGCACCATAAGATTTTAGCAACTCTTTCATTTTTTCATTATCCGCTTGATCCAAAGCAGTCTTCTGTGTTTGATCTTTTTTATTAGGATTTGCTCCATGTTGTAGTAGTATCTCTGCTGCCTACAACGTAGTTTTTCAAAGTTATCTCTACACATATGTTTTTGTCTCAAGATACCACTAGTAAGCATTAGAAATTATATAAAAAGTATTCAAACTCTGATCAAGAAATTTTTAAGTTAAATTTGATATAGCAATGGTAAACTGATCCATTGATTTGGCCTGATTGATCCCCATAAGAGAACCCATAAAAACATACTAATATGAAAGCCCAATGTGCTGCCTTCATCGCAGTAAGAGTTATGCACAGGCAGGTCCACTTCTTGATCACTTCTGCACAGCTGAATTTTCTGTGATGATGAAATAGTCTGTGCTGTATTCGATAAAGTGGTCATTAGTCACATATGGCTATGAAGCATATGAAATGTGGCTACTGTGACTGAAGAATTTTTAGTTTTACTTTCTTCAAATTTAAATAGTAAAATTTAGCCTACAGCTATCTTATTGGGCAGTATAGGCTTGGATACGGTGTGGATTTGGCCACTTACAGGCAAACACAGATTCACTGATGCCCAGAATTATTTACCCTATCTCATTAAACGAGCATTTTCTCCTTCTCCAGGCTGTTAGAGGACAGGGTAAAGAAGAGGGCAAGAACTGCTTCAGGATGCTATTACAAACTATATTACAAATTTTTGAAATGTCCCTAAAACTTATGTGGTGAAGGCTTAGTTGCCAGCTGATGAGCTTTGGGGGAAATGATTGGATCACAAAAAAATCTAACTTCAAGTGGACTGATCCATTAATAAGGTCATAATTTGATGGGAGGTGATGGAAAGAGGAGATGGGGCCTCACTAAGGAAGCTGATCATAGGGGTATAACCTTGGGGGCTATATTTTAGTCCCTACCACTTCCTCTCTGTCTTCCTTCCCCTTCTCTCTGCTTCCTGGATGCTGCCAGGATGTTCAGTCTGGTGATGGCATACTTCTTAAGAGTTTCAATGATAACAAACAGCCTGCTGCAGCACCATGCCATAAGTTTGCCACCACTGCCCTAAGTCCACAGCATAGAATGACTATGGACTGAAACTTCTGAGACAATAAGCCAAAATAAGTACTTCATTCTTTAACCTGATTTACATGAGGTATTCTGTCACAGTGATGAAAAACTAACACACCATTAGACATTGTTCTATTTGGACATATTTCAACCTAGCAACCTAATCTTCATTGTAATACTCTTCCTATGTAAATATGATTTAAATAATAGTCACATGGTACTGAAGACATAGGAAAACTTAGAAACTACCCACCTGAGCACAGTATGAACCAATAGTTTTTTGTTTTGTTTTCTCATGATACTGGGGACTGAACCAAGAGCCAGAGCACTGACCTATGTCCCAGTCTTTTATGTTTTTATATTAAGACAAGGCCTCACTAAGTTGCCCATGCAGGGCTTGAACTTGCAACCTTCCTGCCTTAGTCTCACCTGGAATTACAGGACTGTTCCATCATGCCTAGCATGCCAGTACATTTTTGTTTCCCTGTTTGTGTCCAGAGATGGAGAAAAGAAATTCAGGAGCAAATGAGCCATCAAAAAAGACAAAGGAAAGCCCTTCTTTGTTGTCTAGAGGTAGCTCCCTTGTTTTACAGTCAAACATACAAAACTCTTGCAACTTAGTAGGTCTGTCTTTGGACAAGTTGCTTACCACCTCTGATCTCATTTTTAAAAATCACCTATAAAGGCCAGAGATTTAACTCAGTGGTACTGCCACCTGCCTCACAAGCAAAAGGTCCCAAATTCAATTAAAAAAAAATCACCTATACAGATCAAATGTGAGTTTTTACATAGTATCTGGCAAACAGAAGGCTTTTAGCCAAAACTAACTTCTCATTTTTCCTTTAGAGTAGTGAAAAGACCAACTGTGGATATGGCAGACATACTAGAGCATATGGAAAAGTCTCCTGTAAAGATTTCTGATTAAACCAGCATATACATACCTTAGTGAAGTCTAAAGGTATGAAAGGAAAATTTACCTGTTTTTAAAAGAGTGTTAAAAGTACCTTAACCCAGTTGTTTCTAAGCTTGACTCATCACCAGAGTAACTTGTGAAGTTTTTAAAAATTCAGATTTCTTAAATCATCCCCAAGGTTAACTCTGCAAACTACAAATCTAGACCTTAATCTTCAGAAATTTATTTCCGGTATTATATGGGAAAGACAGAGAGTTATTTTCATAAAAGGAAGCTTGACTGGACTCTTGAACAGTTAGGCCATATTAAATATTTTGGCAATGTGTTAGGATGAAGCCTTCTCTGGACCTTGCCTTTAATACTACATTAACATGGTTATATTTATTGAATACATTACTTTGGAAGACACAAAGAATTTAGTTCAGAGACTCTAAATAGCTGGGTTTTTTTAATTATATTCACTAATAGGAAAAATTCTAAAACAAAAAATTCACGGAGAACAAAATTGTCTAGGACAGCAAATTAGTAAATAGGAAAAGCTAGTTAATACAGGAGAGAGTTCCAAATAATATGAAGTAGGCCTAAGGGCCAAAAAACTTGGCAAAGATTAGATAACCAAGAAATGAGCCCGTTTTTAAAAAAAAAAACACCAAAATTCAGCCTTCCTGAAGTGATCACTACAAACATGACTAAGAAACATTCCTTCAGCACAAAAAAATCCCTTCTGCCTCTCTAGTCAAACCTCATCCTCACCCCTTACGAGAGTTTTAGTCCCAGACAACCCATGATCAGTTTCTATTACTTTAAACTATTCCATTTGTACTATAATATACTCTTTTGTGTCAGGTCTCTTTGACTTAACATGATACTTTTGAGATTCACCCATATTGATGTGTGTAAGTCTACTGTTTTTTGACAATTTACTTATTTACAGGTGACAGGGATTTGGGGTCTAGTTTGGAGCTTGCACATTCTAATGTAGAAACTACCTAATTTATTCTTTAATTTCCTTTGTGTTCAAGAGGGTTAATTTCCATGTGTTTATTAAGTTCTTACAGTTTCTTTTGCCACTGATTTCAAATTTCATTTCACTATGGTCTGATAATACATGGGATAATGCATGGGATAATTTAAATTCATTTGAATTTACTTAAGCATGTTCTATGAGCAAGCATGTGGTCTATTTTGGAGACTGTTCCATGTGTAGCTGAGAAGAATGTGTATTCTGATGTTTTGGAGTAGAACACTCTGTAGACATTTACTATGTCCATTTATTCAAAAGTTTGGTATTTCACTGTTGGTTTTTTTGTCTAGTTGATCTGTTTGTAAGAGTGGAGTACTGAGGTCCCCCATTACAACTGTTTCATGTTTGTTAATATTTGCTTTACATAGCTAGGTGCACCAGTATTTGGTACAAATATATTTATGATTATCCCTTTCTCTTGGATCATTCCCTTTCCAATGATTGTAGTGACCTTCTTTGCACTTGATCTTAGTCAAAAGGCCAAGAAGCAAAGTAATCACCTAATCTGCCTCTCTTAATCCGTCTTGGTTTGAAATCCACTTTGTCTGCAAAAAGAACACCTGGCCCTGCTTTTTGCCAGCTTCCTGTTGCATAAAGTATTCCATACTTTTACTTTCAGTCTATTAATTTTTCAATTAAATGTATTTCTTGTATGCAGCATATTGTTGGATCTTGCTTCTTGATACATTCTGCCCGTGTTTGGAGAATTGAGACCATTTACATTGATGGCCATCACTGATTATGTACAGAATATCCTTGTCATGTTATTTTCCTGTTGTTGGTTTTCCCCCATTTAATAGCTTACCTTGCCTGCTGGATTCATTGTTGGGGTTCATGGAGTTGTAGTCCATATTATCTTTCTAGAATGTCTTTCAGAAGATTTTGTAGGGCTGGTTTGGTGGTCCTGAATTTTCTCAACTGTTCATTGTCATGAAGTATCTTATTTTTCCACCAATTTTGAAAGACAGTTTTGTAGGATACATTAATCTGGGTTGGAGGTTATGTTTAAGGCTTGAAATACTTCACTCCAAGCTCTCCTTGACTCGAGTTTGTATTGAGAAGTCTGCTATAATCCTGATGGGCTTTCTTTTATAGGTGATTTGTTTCTTTTCTCTACCATATTTTAGTATTCTGTTCTTGTGTTGGATTTCTGAAATCTTGACTATTATATGCCTCAGTGTACATTTTTTTGGTCATGGCTAACTGCAGTTCTATATGCCTCACTTATCTGTATGTCAAATTCTTTTTCCATGCTTGGAAAGTTTTCTACTGTTACTTCTGTGAACAGATTTTTTTTCATGTCATTTGTGCTATCCCCTGCTTTTTCACTGACTCCATTCAATCTTGTTATTCTTTACATCATTTAGGAACTATTTTTTTGTGATCTCTTGCTATTTTAAAGAAATCTTTCATGATTGCTAACTGCAATCTTGTCTTCTGTATCTGATATTCTGTCCACATGTTGGCTCATTCTATGATGTATCCTTGCAATGGAATTTTTAATGTCCTGGATATCCCTTTGAATTTGTTTCATGGATTCCACTTCTTTCCTATGCTGGGGGTTCACAGTTTCCATCATTTTCCCGAGCTCTTCTACTTTTATATCTGTATCTGCTCTAGAATCACCAAGCATGTCTTTCATTATGGTCACCATCTTTGTAGTTACCTGAGAAATTATTTCCAATTTGATTTTTTTAGTCTCATTCATCTGCTTCGTTACTTCTACTGTTAACACTTCAGAGAGTCCAGGTGGGTGGATTTCAAATTGTTCTATCTCATTGCTCACTGGGTTTGTCTTTGGTGAGCTAGAAGTCTAGGGTTGTCCTGTCTTCTCATTTTCTATTTTCTTAAGTTTTTTAGCTCCTGGCTTGATGCTTATAAATTGCTGATGGTGAGTAGCTCTATTGCTAGTATTTAGAACCTTTAGGAAATGACTATTCAGACATGTCTTCCAGGTATAGCTGGCTTTTGCGCTTTCAGTTTGCTTCAAGATCCTATCTCTTTAACTTACTGGGGATGAGAAGTTGCTGCCTACTTGGCCAAGCTCCTGGTTCTTTGGCACTGGATTGTTTATGACCCTTAGGCAATTGCAATCTTGGCATATCAGTAACAGCAACAGATTAGAACAATTATGTCACCTTGGCTGAGGTAGTACAATCAGCAATAACAATATCATCAAACACAGCCTAAACAATGACAAACTGTGGTAATTATTGTCACCTTTAAGCTTATGCACTAGATTTATGGTTATAAAACAAAGCCTAATATAAACCTGAAAATTGTATACAGTAAACCACCAGTATGGGGATTTTATCTTTAGGGGAGAAAATTTTAAAAGAGTTAAGGGGGAAAAATAGAGAAACAAAAGAAGAAGAG